AAATTGTGGTCAATGTTATGAGACAAAGTATATGTGAACTGCTGTATGGAAAGTGAATTTGCTCTGTAAATCTTCACCCAAATCACAATTAAAACAAAAAGAAGAAGAAGAAAAAGAATAGGCCAGTTATTTTATAACTAATTTGGGTTCGATATTTTCCTCATGACTAAATTCAAGTTGCACCATCTTTGACTAGTGTACGGTGTCCTTCTAAAAGTACATGATACTCACTTGGCCCTTAAGGCAATGTTGGTTTTAATCACTGCATAGCTACTATTTTTCCCTCTTGTAATTTGTAAGTAATATATAAGTGACACTTTGAAATTATATAAGTATCTTAACTCTCATGAAACTTTACCCTATTAGAGTTAGCATCCATTGATAATTCTTGTCCAAATTAACTTTTTACCTGATGGTTGCCAAATGGTGAATTTCTTCTATATTAGTTGACATTCTACTGAAAGGATTTTCTCTCCCTGGGTGGTACAAACAGTTAACATGCTCTGATGTTAACCTTTCTCACTGAAAAGCTAGTGGTTCAAGTACACACAGAGGCACCTCTGAAGAAAGGCCTGGTGATCTACTTCTGAAAATCAGCCAGTGGAGTACACTTTGGACACATATGGTGTCACCATCAGAATCAACTTGACAGCAACTAGTTCTTTTAATTAGTATGCACTTAGGTTCCTGTTTTATGCAATGGATTATAATCCATTATTCTAGTGCTCGAAAGGTCTGAGACTTGGCCAGAGGCAGTCCTTTCAAACTGGTTTATGTTCTTTTGATATGCTCCCATCATTTTTCTAATCCAAGGAGCCTTGGCTCCTTTCAGTGAGGAATAGTATTTAGGAACTATGATCTGGATGCTAGTTATGAATCATTGCTATGTGATGTCATTGCTTCTAATCCTTTTTGGTGGACAGAGAGCTAGGAATTCATGAGTTTATGCTATCTCCTATTCCAATCTAATTGTTTTTGCCCTTCCTTAGTCCATATTTATATGTCATTAGATTTATTCATTTGCTCAATCCTTTAATACCCCAGTAATATCGTTTCAGAAGTACTATATCCACACCCCCACCAAAAGGAAAAAGGAAAAAAATGTAAGAACTTAAACTCAAGATTTTTTTCTTTATTGAATGTCAATAAATTGTTATTGTTTAAATTTATTGAATGTTAAAAATACCATGTTTAAAAGTAACTTGGGTTAACCAGGTTTGCTGGGCTGATAGAGCCCAGTGAGATCCCTCAGACTATGGTCCCCAGTCTGGAACTGAACTCACTGCTATGACTTCCCACCAAACAAACAACAGGCATATGTGGTGAACATTTACATCAGGTAGATACACTCCTTAGACCAATCAATCAATTGTGGGAAAACAGAAGGGTAGTGTTTGCACAGGGAGATAGCTTGGGGATGGGGGGTGGGAGTGGGGGTGAGAAGCGCACAGGATGGCGGGAGTGCATTGGAGGGAAGGACACAGTTTAGAGGTAACTATGGGGAGGAAGTGGGAAGGGAGCTTTTACACTGTGGGTAATTGAAGTCAGTATCATGAAACAAAATGTGTATGAACTGCTGTATGGAAAATGAATTTGCTCTGTAAACTTCAGTTGGCTATATTATTCATTTGAAATATAACTGGCTTCACTTAGTTTTGGGAATTCCCCCCATCTTTGCTGACTTACTTTTACTTTTTGGAAACATGAACATTAACAAGATTTCAAAGTCAAAACTATACAAAAAGATACACTCAGAGAAGTCTTATTCCCTCTCCTATTTCTTCCACCACATTGCTCCCATCCCTGTTATTTTCTGGTTAACCCATCCAGTGTTTCCTTTGCAGAAAGATAAGCAGATATATGTGTTTTCTAATCTCCCCTAATTTATTACAGAAGAAGTAGCATATTCTAATATTTGTACTTTGATTTTTCCACTTAACAATATATCCTGGAAACCACTCCATACCAGTTCATTAGTATCTTCCTTATTCTTTCTTAAAATTGCATTGTATTTCATTGGGTGTATGTACTATAATTGCCTTAACAGATCTTCTAGGAAGTTGTTTCCAAAATTTTACAATCACAATGCTTCAGCAAGTAACCTTGTATATACACATTTTTTATATATAGGTATATCTGCAAAGTGAATTCCTAGAAGGACTATTGGTCAAAGTCAAATTACACACACATACACACCTTGTTTTTGTGTGTTGTCAAGTAGATCCTGACTGATAGTGATTCACTCTGTAAGATGGAGTTCAATTGTCCTATATGGTTTCCAAGGTTGTAATTTTTATGGAAGCAGACTGCTATATTTTTATCCCACAGAACAGCTGGTGGGTCTGAACTGCCAGTCTTTCAGTTAGCAGCTGAGCGCTTAACCACTGCACACACACCCCAAAAAAAACCCAAACCCAGTGCCCTCAAGTTGATTCCAACTCATAGCAACCCTCATTGGGTTTCCAAGGCTTAAAATCTTTGCACAAGTAGATTGCCTTGTCATCTTTTGATGGAACAGCTGGTGGGTCTGAACCAAAGACCTTCTGGTTAGCAGCCAAATGCTTTACCACTACACCATGAGAGCTCCTTACTGTATCACCAGGGCCCCTTAAAAATACATATACATCTTTACACACACACACACACACACACACACACACACGCTCCTAAGTGTCATAAACGATTAAGTGCTTGACTACTAACTCAAAGTTCAAATTCAACCAGAGGAATGTCAGAAAAAAGACCTGGCAATCTACTTCCAAAAAGGGTTTTACTATTTCACATTCCCACCATCTTCTGTCCACCAGCTTTGCCAACAGAGAGAGTGGGGGTAGGGGTGGGGGTAGGGTGGGGGGAGAGATCTACTACTAAAAAAAGTTTTTTGCTGTCCTAATTAGTAAGAAAGGGTATCTTAGTGTGGTTTTCACTTGCATTTCTCTCATGAGCACAGGTGAACATTTTTTTATATGTTCAGAACCATTTTTATATTTCTTCTGTAACTTGCTTTTATATTTTGCCCCTTTTTTATAGAATGTTGGTCTTTCACCTCAATTTTTAGAAGTTCTTTATTCTTATAGAGTCCCTTTGTGGTACAAATGGTTATTATGCTAGGCTGCTACCCAAAAGATTTGAGCCCACCTTGGAAGGAAGGCCTGGTGATATACTTCTGAAAAATCAGCCATTGAAAACCCTATGGAGCACAGTTCTATTGTGAAACACATGTAGTCACATGTATGACTTGGCATCGACTCAACAACAACTGGTAGTGGTAGCAGTTGTTGTTGGGGGCTGTCAAGTTGATTCCAACTCATAACAACCCCATGTACTAGGGCTATTATTTGTATTATAGCTGTTGCAAATACTTTCTTTGAATATGACACAGGTCTTTTGACTGGTTACTTTGTGTGTTTCCATGTTATTACTTACTATTTTAATTACATAGACTTTGTACTATGTTTTAGGGAGCTCTGGTGGCGTAGTGTCTAAGCCACTTGACTGCTACCCAGAAGGCTGGCAGTTCAAACCCACCAGCTACTCCTTGGAAGGAAGACTGGGCAATCTACTTCTGTAGAGATACTGCCTCAGAAACCCAAGGAGGGGTTGCTATGAGTCGGAATCAACAGCAGTGAAAATTTTTGTACTATGTTTTAATACTTATCAGAGCTAGTTCCCCATTATAGCTCTTCTTTCTGTGTTTCTTAGCTATTTTTATAAACTTATTTTTCCACCTGAACTTTACTATCAATTACCTTGTTCCAGAAAAAAAGCTTGTTGGTATTTTTTGGGGTTGCTGCTTTGATGAAAGCCATTTGGCTACAAACCGAAAGATCAGTGATTTGAACCCACCAGCCGCTCTGTGGGAGAGTAAGATGAGGCAGTCTGTATCTGTAAAGATTTCTAGCCCTGGAAACTCTATGGGGGCAGTTCTATCCTAAAAGATCACTATGAGTTGGATTCAACTCGATGGCAGTGGGTGGTGGTAGTGGCATTAATTTTATAAATAAACTTACAAAGACCTGCCAACTTGATGATGTTGAAAGGACATATCCATTAAAAAGGGATGTCTTTTCATTGATTCAAACTTACTTTGTGCTTTCAAGGTGTTTTATAATTTTGTTCTCCTAAGTTGCACATTTCTTATACACTTATTCCTAGCTACTTCATCTTTTCTTTTACAGTTGGAAACAAGGTTTTCTCCTTTAATATATCTTCCAATGGCTGTTATCTGGGCATATGCTAATTTCTGTGTTAATTTTATACCCTGCCACCTTGCTAAATTCTTTAGTTTTAGCACTGATTCTCTAATTACAGGTATACAATCATACCATCTGAAAATAAGATAATTTTAACTTATTTTCCAATTCTTGCACCTCTGATTGCTTTCTCTTGTCAAACTGCCTTAGTTAAAATTTCCAGTTCAATGCTAAACAGAGGCAGATATAGTGGGCATCTTGCCTTAGTCCTGACCTCAGGGGGAACATCTCTAGCTTCACCCATTATGTAAGATTCAGCTTGCTTTTCCAGTGACTTCCCCCAAAACCACTCTCGATCTCATGCCCCCTCCAGACCTCCATTCATGGAGTCTACTGGCCTCTCTTTCTCTCTCCTCTTCCCTTATCATCTAGCTTCAGTTTCATAGTCTATCATTTCAAAAATATTCTCAAATACCTTCTGCCTTAAAAGAAAATATCTTAAAATCCACTTTGCAAAACTCCCAACCTGGATGAGCCCAACTATCTGTTATGTCTTTGCCTACACCAGAGAAGTCAAGGTCTGAGAAAGCAAGGCAGCTGAGAAAGTCACACAACAGGGCAGACTGCTCCCACTATGACATCGATCACTGACCAAGCCATCCTACAAAGGCTCACAGACCAACTGGCTTTCCAGTACACTGAAACAATTTTGGACCTTTACCATATTCTTTACAACTCCTATTTTCCCAAACCTCTGCTTGATGCCAGATGATACTGCTTTCCAAATTGAAAAGAAGAAAAAAAAAAAAAGCCACCAGGTTTCTATTACCAAACCTCCATCTACCTCCCCCTCCACCTGTCTGTCTTTACATACAACAGAGGACCTTTCAAAACTAATTCCTGCACAAGCTCCCCTCCTGCCTTCTCAGGAACAGCACATTACTGATTAACTCGTCATTTCTTGTAGCTTCACTGTCATTCCTCACCTGGATGCTTTCCTTCCCACATATACTTGTAAAATGTTTAGTTTCTTTAAGCATCTCCTTCCCATAAAGCCCTGTAATCCTGCCTCATCTCTTAAGTATTTTCTTAAACATTTACAACATCCTTTCCTAGTCATACTTTTTGAAATAACCATCTATTCTTATAGCCTCCATTCACCCCACACAGTCACCACTCAACTCTCTCTAATGTGGTGCCTGCCCACATTGTTCTGCTGTGGCAGCTCTAGACAAGGTCACCAATGAAGACCATGTTTTAAAACCAAATGGACATCAGCTCTCATATTATTCTACCTCAAATCCATTACTGTTGTCCACTCTCCTGCCTTCCTGAACATTCTCTTCTCTTGGTCACATTCTGCCTCTCTAATCCTGTCCTTTGCAAGCTCTTCCTTCTCTCCCTAGCAATTAACTATCAGTGTCCTTCAAGGCTCAAGGCTAGGCCCTCTTACTACTCCAGAGCGGGGGTCAGTAAAGTTTTTCTTAAAGGTCAGACACTAAATATTTCAAGCTCTGAGAACCATAAAGCCCCTGCTGCAATTCTCTACTCTGTTGTTGCAACAGGAAAGCAATGATAGATAATAAGTAAATAAATAAACATGGCTGGGTTCCAATAAAAATCTATGGATGCTAAAATTTGAATTTCATATAATTTTCCTATCACAAAATAGGACTCTTGATTTTTTTCCATCATTTAAAAAGGGGAGCTTATAGGACATAAAAGAATAGGTGGTAGGCCACAGCTAACTCCTTCTCTATCCTATTATCCATTTTTCAATGGCAATTATCAATACTATGATAATTGTTCACTTATTTATTATCTTATTCCATATTAGAACATAACTGTCAGAATTTATTCACCACTTAATCCCACTCACTAGAATATTGTCTGATCCAGATCAGACACTCAATTAATATGTGTTGAATGCATAAACGATAGATAGGCACTAGCCATTTCCTATGGTCTTCCTGGTGCAGATCTATTGCAGTTATATTAACCTATGCATCAGGGTTTAAGCACAAGACTGCTTGGGCTGATCATTCCTCTGCTCAAGTGTTTATTTTGTGCCTATGGTAACACACATCAAACACTCAGCACAGTGCCTGATAAACAAGTTAAGTGTTGCTTTATTATTCAACGGGTTTTTACATAAAAAAAAAAAAAAAACAAACTCATTGCCACCAAGTTGGGTCCAACTCGTAGTGACTTCTCCTTGGGCTTCCAAGGCGGTATCTCTACTGAAGTAGATTGCCCAATCTTCCTTCCGAGGAGTGGCTGGTGGGTTTGAACTGCCAGCTTTCTGGTTAGCAATCAAATGCCTTAGGCACTACGCCACCAGAGCTCCCTAGCTTTATTATTCAATGGGTATATATATATGTTAAAAATCACAGGATACTAGAGGAAGAAGGGTCTTTAAATATCATGCAATCCAAATCCCCTCATTACAGAGCAAATGTAGTCCACTAAGGCCCAGAGAGGTCAAGAGTTTTGCCTGTGACCAGGCCACAGTGCAGGGCAGGTAGTGGGTCTTCTAATTGCCCTTTCCAAGAGACAAAGCAACTAAGTGACCCAAGTTCGGTCAATAGGAGCTTTCAGTGCACCTGTTTTCCCTTGACATACCTAACAGAGTATGATAAGTCCTTGCTGCTCCAGCAGAATTAAAAAGGTAATGGGAGTTCAGGATATTGCTTGGCAAAGGGAGAGAGAAGACTAACTTAAGTGGAAGTCATCTTGGCAGAGCTCTGCACACCTTACCTGCAGGAGCTCCCTGGTGGGCTGCTGCTGCTTTTCTTCCAGCTGGGCAATCAGACCACTGAGGTGGGAGATGTTGCAGGAGAACTGGGTGATGGCGCCATTGATGCTGTTGTAGATGGCCAAGTCCAGCTCCTCAAGGCGGGCCAGGAGGCGATACTCATGTTCCTTCAATGAGTGATACAGCTGCTCAAACTCCCAGACAATCTTCTCCCTCTCCATCTGGGTCAAGCTCTGTGCAGGTGACAGGGAAGGGTGGTGAAGAGAAGAAAGGCTTGCTTCTCAAGGCTTTCACAAACTTTCTCTTTTCCCCCATCTCCAGATCTCATCATTTCATCCCAGGACACTAAAACAAGCATTCAATCATTTGTTCACTTATTCGTTTGTTCCAGGTTTTACGGAATATCTAGAATGGCTAGGGACTGGGTTCAATAAACAACCAACTAGTTGCCACTGAACTGATTGTGATTCATGGTGACCCCATGTGTGTCAGAGTAGAACTGCTCAACAGGGTTTTCAACAGTTGATTGTTTGGAAGTAGACAGCCAGGCCTTTCTTCTGAGGCACCTCTAAGTAGATTCAAACTGTCCACTTTTTGGTTAGCTGTCAAGCATATTAACTGCATCACTATACTAACTCCAGACTGAATTAGCACAGACAGAATTAAGACATACTTCCTGCCCTCAAGGAACTCAGTCAAGGTTCATTTGATACAAGTAATCATGAATATATAATTAAAGACAGGGTGACAGCCTGGGGTGGGAGAATATTGGAAAGTGGTAACAGAGACAGTATTCATGAAATTTCTTGGAGGATGAGTAGGAGTTCATCAAGTGGGCAGTGAATGAGAGGGCCTCCTAGGAAGAAGAAATGGCACAGGCATAGAAGTGTGGAGAGAAGGCAAATGGTTCTGTCTGGCTGGAACACATGAGTGCTGAGGGAAAAGACCAACAAAGGTAAGGAGAGACCAGATCATGCCTTTACTGGAAAGCTAAGGAATAAGGACTTTACTCCCTGAGCAACTAGAAGCCAACAAGGACTTTCACACAGGAAAGTGAATGATTAGAAATGTGCCCTGTAGGAGATAATTTGAAGAGGAAATAAAGACTCTACCAATCTCAATTCCAACTTTCATCCTTCTGTCCAAGATAGTTTAGAATCACCCCCCACCCCATCTCCAAACAATAACCTTGATCAGTTCCCTTGAGCCCTCTATTTGGCCTTCAACAGTGTCCACCAATTGTCCTGTCTCATGACTCTTGGGGAGTTCCACGATTCCTCTCCTAGAGCAGACTTGTTTGCCATGGCTTGTCCACCCTTCTTTCTCCATCCCTACTTCCCACTTTAGGACCTCTATTAAAGTTTTGTTCTAAACAAGTAGGCAAACTCAGCTCCACGGGAGATAAGTTTTACTGGGGCACAGCCATCCCCATTCATTTATATATTGTCTATGACCGTTCTTGTGCTTTAACAGCAGAGATGAAGAGTTGTGACAAAGTCCTATGGCCTGCAAAGCCCAAAATATTTACTCTCTGGCATTTTACGGAAAGTTTACTGACCCCAAATGTCCCCAATTAACCATCCCTCTAAACACTCCTCTTAGGCATTCACTGTGCACCTTAGTAATGTACATACATCTTCGCTTATAAATTCTCTTCTTAAGCTCATACCTCTCCTCAGCTGAATATGCCCTCCAAAGACATAAATCATACATTATAATCTTAGAAACATAAAACTAAAGATGGAAGAGACATTAAAGATCAACTAGTCCACAGTGTTACTGGCATCCTGGTTGGGACAATGCTGCCTAGTATAGGACTGGTTCTTTGCATTATAGGACATTTGGCATCAGCATCCTTTCTCCACCCAGTCATTGTGACAACCAAAGAAACACCCACACACCCTTGGAGGGGAGCAAAGGGCAGCACTGCCCTTGGTTGAGAATCACCAGGCTAGTACAACCTACCCATTTCACAGATGAGAAAATTGAGGCCCAGAGAAGTGGTATGACTCTCTCCATCTATACAACTCATTAGTGTCAGAGCCAGGAAGTATGTCCAGGTGCTCTGATTCTCAGGGATGGGCTGTCTCTCTCCTTTCACAATCCTCCCACAGCGGGCACTGTTGTGTGCGTAATCATTTGAGTTCATCCAGGCTCACTGAGAAGGTTCTCCATCCATCAGACCTATTTTCAAGGGGAGCCAAGGTCTCAGTGGATTGTGTGGGCAGAGCAAGTGTTGGGATCAGAGGGCACCATGGGCAAGAGTTCCCTGTCTAAAAGCTTCACTATGCCCTGGCTGGGAGTGCTTGACAAAGATTCTCACAAGATAGGACTAGACATTACTAGTCGAGGAGTCTGCTTTTCAGATGCAAAAATCTCTACTGAAAAGAGATTTGTACTATTTTAATTATTATTTATGTAAAAGTAAAAACACATTGGTGGTAGATATGCAAGTGTGTATTATAAAAGTTTCTGAAATTTTTGATGTATATATATCTTTTCTTTTTCAAAACAAAATCCTCAAAATATTCCTATTACAAATTAGCACATCAACCACTTGACAAGGCCTTGGGAGAATGGGAAAAGGAAGCAAAATAAACTTCACCTATTTCAGTTTTGTCAAGGATCAACACTGATCCACACAAAGCTAGCAGGTTAAACCTTCTTTGAAAGTCAGACTCTCCAGGGATTCCCACCTCAGCTCTTCCATCCTTTCCTCAAAACGTGGGAACAGGTTTGGTTACCCCTTGGGTTTCCAGAAGAGATCCCAACTGCACCTAACAGTTACGGGTGATCTGGCTGCACAAAGATAACAGAAATAACATCAGCCCACAGAAGAGAGAATGACTGACCTGCAGAAGCAATATTATCCATGAATTGCGATGACCCTTACCAAGAGTTCAGCTCGTGCCTGCTCCCCCTGTGCCCGCCGTCTCTTCTTTAAGTCTTTCACTCTTTTTAGGTGGTCCAGCTGGTTCTGGATCTGCTCCTGAGGAAGCCAAGACAGTTGCCAATTCAGAATTACTCAGACTGTAGCATCATCATGGCTATTCTGCACAACACACATGGAAACCACCCACCTGATGCCAAGCCTCTGGTTAGAATCTATTTTCAGACCACACTGCCACCATGGGAAGACCAGAGGGCAGAGGGCCACCAAAGCTGTTTGTATCTTAAAGAATGGGTTACCTACCTACCTGCCCCTGGCATGATACTGCATGGTTTAGTTGGAAAGGCGAGTGGACTAAAAGCCAAACTACAGTTCTTCCACAGAGGCATACTAAGAAAGATTTCTCTTATTTTCATCATGTGTACCATGGGTGAACACCTGCCCCAACTACTCCAGGGTTATCATGAAGGTAAGTGAAATAAGTAAAAACCAAATACCAAACCAAACTATCACCGAGTTGATATGACTCATAGCGACCCCTCCTTAGGTTTCTGAGGAAATATCTTTAAGTAAGTAGATTGTCCAATCTTCCTTCTGAGAGTGGCTGGAGGGTTTGAACCACCAGCCTTGTGGCTAATAGTCAAATGTCTTTGGCGTACACCACCAGGGCTTCCCTAAATGTTAACTATGTATTAACTAATTGTATTCACATTTAAACATTTCTATAATTATGTATTCCCACAGCACTCAAGTATACAAGTATCACAGCATCATGCATTCCCTGAATGTTGCCTTATAACTCTTTTATATTTAATACTTTGTTTCCATGTTAATGTTCAGCTGCCAGTCTGTTGATTCAACAGCTCACAAAGAGCTCCACACACATTTCACCTAACCTTCACAATAATTGTGTTGTTATCCTCTCTGAGTCGCAGGTTAAACGACTTGCTCAAGCATTAAAGCTCTGTTCTTTTCCAATGTACTCTCTAAACAGGACAGAGAACAGGACAGTCCTGGTGAACTGCTTATAGGTCTGATGTGTGTACCGCCAGTTAACCTCTCAGTGTGTTCTGTCTCAGATCAGAGCCCACAGAAGAACTTGACTCTGAAGGTGGTCATATGTATGTGGTTCTACGCACACCTTTTAGAATGTCGCGGGGGGAGGCAGAGAGGGTCTCCTTGCACAGTCTTTATGCACTATGAGCGCGCAAACATAAGGGCATACCAAGGGAAAGAGGAGTGGAGGTGAGGAGTTTTGGCTTCCTCAACAGCTACAGGTTTTTCTCCCAAATCTGAGTGCGGAGGCTCTGGAGCGGGCAGAGAGGAAATGACGGCTGTGAACCACACGTCCGGCTCAGCCATTTTCTAGGCGGAAAAAAAGGGAAGCCCCCTCGGCTCTCTCCTCCCTTTGTCCGACTTCAGCTCCGGGCCCCTCCCCGCTCCGCGCGTCCGGCGCTCACCTTGAAGCCCTCCACCGCTTCCTCCAGCGGCAGCACGCTGTGGCCGCGGTGCTCGCGGGAGCGGTCGCACACCACGCAGATGGGCATCTGGTCCTCCTCACAGTACAGCTTCAGGGGCTCGCGGTGTTTCTCGCACACGCCCATCTCGCCGCCGGGGCCCGACGGCCGCTCGGTGCGCAGCTGCTTCACCAGCTGGGTCACGTTAGCCAGGTGCCGGTTGGGCCGCATGTGCCGCTGCGGGAAAGTCTCCCGACACTGCGGGCACGACACGTTAGTCTCGGCCGCGCCCCAGCAGCGCGCGAGGCACGCGCAACAGATGTTGTGGCCGCAGTCGAGCATCATGGGCTCGGCGAAGTACTGCAGGCACACGGGGCAAGTGGTCTCCTGCTGCAGGCATTCGGCCACGCTCCCGGAGGCCATGGCGCGGGCCCGCGGGGGCGCACGAGCATCGGCCCCTTCGCCGAGCTCTGCGCGGAGCCCCACTTAGCTGTGCTCCCTCTAGGTCGCTGCTCCTGGCGGCGCGGGGAGGCTAGCGGGGCGGCGTTTTCCGGGCCCAGATCCCGGTCGCGCCCGCGCGCTGGAGCCTCCGAGGGGCCGGGCCTCTCTCTGCGCCCGGTCGAAGGAACGCCGGGATACTGCGGCCCCACTGGGCCCCACGGCTAGGCAAGGGGACCCGAAAGTGGGCGCAGCCGACCGGGCTCGCGGGGCCAGGCGTACCAAGCGCGCAGGACAACGTGGCCGCGTCCTAGCGGATCCCGGAGGCCGCGTAGACCCCACCCCGGCGCGAGCGGAAGAGGCGGCTGGGGGGCGGGGCTTGGTCCGGGCCCCCCGCGCACGACACGATTTCGTGGCCTACGGGCCTGAACTGCTTCCTCCTAGAGAGGATCGGGTGGCAGGGCCACCCGTATTAGGGAAGAACAGGCCTTGGGGGCCTGTGACATAGGCAGCCGGTGTTTACAGGACTCAGTGGTGACAAGGTTACTCCTGCAGGCTTGCTGTGGCCCACCTCCGAGCGAGCTTCCGTGTACCCTTTCCTAGGCCGGGACCCCTAGGCTTTTGTTAGGTTTTCTCTTTTGCGCCCAGGCTTCAGCTCCTGAGAGAGAAAGCGGGCTTTGTGTTGAATCTGGGAAGCACAGACATCTGGCCTGGTCCTTGGGGCCAGAGAGATAAGAGTAACCGGCTGAACCCCACCCAATACGTGAGGCAGATACGCTTTGTTAACAGGCCCATTACCAGGCATTCATTTTTTTCTTTTTTAAAGGCTTATCAGATGGTAACATATCTGTAGGATAGAAATTGAGTCAGACGAGCCCAGTTCTGCTACTTTGTATCTGTGCCCAAACAAGTTGGTTTACTATTCTGCACCTCAGTTTCCCTTCTGATGAAATGGGGATAATTGTACCCTTAGTGAGGAGGAATACTTTATAATACATTTTATTTTTTGAACCATAAGTATGTTTATCCATTAAAACAGTAAACAAATACTGTGGTGGTTATGTTTGTGTGTCAACTTGGCTAGGCCTGGTTGAGTGGCTGGGCAGCGGGTGGTAGTTATGCCCCATGTTGAAACTGGTAATCAACTCCATGGTGGGATCTACTGTCAGCAGCTGAGTAGCTGCCTTTGGGTTTGTGGTCTGCTTCCTGTATATAAGCAGAAGCTTTGAGAATGGTCTCTAGCCTATGGCACACTTGGACCCTGCATGTAGCTGTGTCATTGCTCAGCAGCCTGCTATGCTCTGCCAACCTTAGGACATATGATGGACTTAAGTTAATGGCCTGCCGTGTGGTTTGGTAACATCAGTACTGTGCCTTTTTACTTGTCAACCTTGGGGCTTCTCAGCCTCAGCAGCCAGCAGCTGTCTGAGTGAAGAAACACCTCTAGCTCCAGTGGGCCGGGAGCAGGAGGCACTGCTGGACCCCAAGGTTGAAGGGCTTTCACCCAGCCCCTAGAGCCTGGTACTTTAAACTTGGACTTAAAGCCTCCAAATTGTAAGAATAAACTCCTATTTGTTAAGGCTATCCCATTTGTGGTATATTCTTGTCAGAGCGGCACTAGGTAACCAGAACAAATACCTATTACATGATTTTGTTGTTGGTTGACGTAGAGTCAATTCTGACGGCGACTTTAGGTATACCTCCATGGGTTTTCGAAGTTGTATTGAGCAGGACTTTTTAAAAATTGTTTGTTCCTCCACAAAGTACGGGGAGAATGAGAGTCCTGCAGTGACCCGGGCTCTTAAAAGTTCCACAAAGCCCATTCTGTTTTCATCATCCAGGAGACTTACAACTCTTGTATTGTTCCCTCATCCCTGTCTTAGTATTTCCTTGTTGTTTGCCGACTCATAGCAACCCCTCCTTGGGTTTCCGAGGCAGTATCACTACGGATAGTAGGATTGCCCAACCTTCCTTCCAAGGAGTGGCTGGTGGGTTTGAACCACCAGCCTTCTGGTTAGCAGTCAAGTGCTTTAGCCACTATGCTACCAGAGCTCCCTAGTATTTCCTCGTTTCCTTTGATATTTTCTCAGTATCATCTGCCTACTCGAGCAAGAGAGGCCTATTGTTGATTTTGGTGAAAGTTTGCAGAGCAAATTCATTTTCCATACCCCAGTTTATACACATTGTCTCATGACATTTACTGCAATTCCCCACAATGTAACTAACAGCTCTCTTCCCACTTCCTCCCCATAGTTACCTCTTCCCTGTGTCCTTCCTTTATGTGCACTCCCACCCCTGCTCCCAAGTTGTCTCCTTGTGCAACACTGCCCTTCTGTTCTCCCAGAATTGATCACTCCAAGGAGTGTATCTACCTGATGTAAATGTTCACCCCATATGCCTGTATATTGTTTGGCTGGAAGCCACAGGAGTGAGTTCAATTCCAGGTCTGAAGGTTAACTAGGGACCACAACAGTCTCAAGGGTCTCACCAGGGTCCATCAGATCAGCAAACCTGGTCTATTTTTAATGTAAATCAGAACACTTTTAGAGCAGACTTTAACTCTCATGCAGAGTCACTTTAAAAATAAGGAAACCAAGCTCAGATACTTAATTAACTCTATGAGGGCAGAGACTCCTCCCCAGACTTTCTTATAAACCAAAAACCAAACTCACTGCTGTTGGGTTTGAACCACCAGCGTTTTGGTTAGCAGTCAAATGCCTTAGGCACTATGCCACCAGAGCTCCTACTCCATTTATAATAGCTACCAAAAAGATAAAACACTTAGGGATAAATCTTACCAGGGACACAAAAGACCTAAACAAAGAACACTACAAAACACTACTACAAAAAACTGTAAGACATTTACATAAATGGAAGAACATACCGTGGTCATGGATAGGAAGGCTGAACATTGTGAAAATGTCAGTACTACCCTATGCAATCCCGATCCTGATTCCATCAGCATTCTTCGTTGTTGTTATGTGCCGTCGAGTCGGACCTGACTCATAGCGAGTCCTCCTTGGGTTTCCGAGGCAGTATCACTACGGAAGTAGATTGCCTCATCTTCCTTCCAAGGAGTGGCTGGTGGATTTGAACCGCCAGCCTTCTGGTTAGTAGTCAAGTGCCTTAGCCACTATGCTACCAGAGCTCCCTCAGCATTCTTTAAGGACATGGAAAAAACAATCACTAATATTACATGGGAGCTCAGGTGGCAATCTACTTCCGTAGAGATACCTACCACCTTGGAAACCTAAGAAGGGGGCACTATGAGTTGGATGGCAGTGAGTAATTTTGTATGGAAAGGAAAAAAACCTCAGATAAGAAAAGCACTACTGCAGAAGAAAAACAAAGTCGGAGATCTCACACTCCCCTATCTCAAAACCTACTATACAGCCACAGTAATCAGAATAGCTTGGCATTGTTATGACAGACACATAGACCAGTGGAACAGAATTGAGAACCCAGAAAAACATCCATTGAATAATGGACAGCTGATCCTTGACAAAGGGCTGAAATCCATTAAATGGGGAAGAGGCAGTCTCTTTAAAAATGGTGCTGGCAAAACTGGATATCCATTTGTAGAAAAAGCGAAAACAAGAGCCATACCTCACACCATACACAAAAATGAACTTAGGATGGATCAAAGACTTAAATGTAAAGCCTAAAAGTATAAAGTTCATCAAAGAAAAAATAGGGGCAAACTTAGGGTAAAGAAAACTTGGGGGCAAAAAATAGGGGCCCTCAAAAAGACTCATTGTCCCTGAGACTATGGCCCCTAGCTGCCCTTCAGGTCTGGAACTGAAGTCACTCCTGTGGTTTCCAGCCAAACAATAGACAGACATATGAGATGAACATTTACATCAGGTAGATACACCCCTTGGAGCCATCAATCATGGGAGAATAGAAGGGCAGTGTTTGCATAGAGAGACATCTCTGAGGTGGGAGGGTATGGGAGAGAAGAGGTAACTATGGGGAGGAAGTGGGAAGAGAGCTGTTCTTATTGGTTACCAGGGATGGGAGGGGAAGGGAGAGAAAATTGCTAGATAGGTAAGAGACAAGTAGTGATTTGGGTGAAGGGAAAGGCAGGCAACATACCAAAAGCAAGTGACCAACTTAATAACCCTAAGAAAAAGGAAGACAAAGAAAGGTGCACAAGAGGTACAGACAACAAAGGTAAACAATTTAACATATACAATACTGCATTATCAGTAATAACAAACATCACTCTTCAGGTGGATACATAGGTAGACAGGCTAAATGATCAAGTATAGGTAGGCAAAAGAGAATATACCCATGACCATATATACGTTTGGCAGATGATATTTCTACATATGTATTTGCATGTGTTATAAGAATGTCCATATGTATAATAGAGCTAACAGGGGAAAAAGTTATAATGACTTCTTCATCACAGCTGACCACTCTGAGGAAGCAAGTTGTTGGGCTTATGGGCTTGGAGCCATGGTCATGGGGGACATCAGGTTCAATTGGCATAACATATTACACAAAGTATTTATACCCATTCCAAAGAAAGGTGATCCAACAGAATGTGGAAATTATTGAACAATATCATTAATATTAACCCAAGTAAAATCTTGCTGAAGATAATTAAAAAATGGTTGTCATAGTATATTGACTGGGAACTTCCAGAAATGCAAGCTGGATTCAGAAGAGGATGTGAAAAAAGGGATATCATTGCTAATGTCAGGTGCATCTTGGTTAAAAGCAAAGAATACCAGAAAGATATTTACTTGTGTTTTATTGACTATGCAAAAGCATTTGACTGTGTGGATCATAAGAAATTATGCATAACATTGAGAAGAATGGGAATTCTAGAATACATAATTGTGCTCATGAGGAATCTGTACATAGACCAGGAAGCTGTTGTTCAAACAGAATAGGGGGAAATTTCATGGTTTAAAATCAGGAAGGGAGTACATTAGGGTTGTATCCTTTCACCATTCTTATTCAGTCTGCACACTGAGCAAACAATCTGAGAAGCTGGACTACATAGAGAAGAACATGGCATCAGGATTGGAGGAAGATTCATTAACAACTTACAATATGCAGACCATGCAATCTTCCTTGCTGAAAGTGAGGATGACTTGAAGCACTTACTGATGAAGATTAAAGAGTACAGTCTGTGAAATGGATTACACCTCAACATAAAGAAAGCAATAATCCTCACAACTGGACCAATAAACAGCATCACAGTAAATGGAGAAAAGATTGATGCTATCAAAGACTTCATATTATTTGGTTCCACAATCAACATCAGTGGAAGCAGCAGTCAAGAATTAAGACGACGACGTATTGCACTGGGCAAATTTGCTGCAAAA